CACGTAGCAACCAGTCATATCAGACAGCATAAGTACAAGTCAATCACTTTTCCATTTTCCCACTCACGAAAACAGTCTCCTTTTCCATTTTTCCACTCACGAAAACAGTTTCCTTTTCATTCTCCACTCACGAAGGATAAAAAGTTGTAATGCACTAGTATTGATTCTTGGAAAGACGTAAGGTCGGTGACCTTAGCTTAGCTTCCTCTAAGCAAAGATCTACGGTAGCCCCGCTGCACTTGGTAGTACTCGTAGTCAATCTACGCCTGACTGATCCTCTGTGAGGATGGAGGGATACTCCAGATTGCCCCAGGGGATGCGGGACGGGCTTATTAAGCTGATGTTCTAGCCTGGGTTGGAAGGAATCATCCGTTGTCGACGGTGGCGCCATAGAAGCGGTTGACGCTGACAGCTTCTGCTGTAAGTGCTCCAGCAGAGCATTTTCATTGTTTCAAAACGCCTTCAAGTGCATGCTTATGGCCTCGAACCCTTGCGCAACGAGGTGCTTCACGGAAGCGTTAAGACCTTTGAGGGTAAGGATGGAGAAAATCTCCTTCGCATCCGCCATGCCCTAAGACGAGCAGCAGCGCTTGGCGCTAGATATCTCCAAGCTCAAGGGCAGTGCGCGAGAATGGGCAATATTGTGCGGTGTTTCAGTTGAGGCTGTGTTTCCTGCCTGGAAGGCAAAAGCGTCAGCTTCTGTGAGTGTTTTCGCCTCCTAATCAGGCATATCGCTTGAGATTGCTTTTTTTTGCTCTGCTCTTCTGTGCGTACATGCATCTGGGACTCACCAAATTTGATAACTCAACGAGTCCACGCAAAATGCGAAATGTTCGGGACCGACGCGTTGAAAGAAATTCAAAATTAGGATTCCGAGGACTTTTCGATTAGAAAGTGCCTGTCAATCTTCAAGTCTTGATCATAAACACCGCCCCGACCAGACGATATACGCCAAGTCCGTTTTTAAGAACGAAACGATCTTTGCACTCAGCCTCACCGTTGCATTAGCCTTTTCGGTTGGAGTGTCTTTGCCATCGCGTCGTGGATCCCTCGGCGATATTGTGATCGTTACCCAGAGACTGGACAAGTTTCAAGGAGCCAATCTATTTTTAGTGCGAGAGAAAAAAATAAATCGAATCCTGCCCAAGTCGCGTCTCGCTATGCTGAGGAGAAGTTCGCCACGCTTGTGCTACTGACGCTATGAGCAAAACAAACGAAAAAAAGCCGAGCCTCGTACGTTTATAGAACTCCCACACAAGTCATTATTCCCCAGAAGTACCGACGGATTTTAAAGCAATAGCGGTAAGAAACTCGTACCCTCGCAAGGGTTATTTCTTGGGAACGAGAAGCTGGCGAAAGTGCCGCAAAGTATACGGCTCATCCATGCGCTGAGTAAGAAAGACACGTCATCTCACCTGTGTCAAGATATTGCAAGACAGCTTTATCAAAGCGGACGACATATCATGCTCAGTATTGATAAATATAAATGCTTGGCGCGAACACTGAAGTGACAGCCTCACAATTCGCCTGATAACAGCTCTTATCGTCTCCACAAAGTACCTGTACCAGCTGCCACCCAAACAACTTTTAAGCGCAAAATTGGTCGTCCCCCACTAGTGGGAAGTGTGCTGGGGTGAAGGGTGACGCATTCCTAAGGTGTGCCAGGTCGAAAGCGGCCGCGACAACAGAACAATCTTGCCGGAGTGAAGGCTCAAACTTCCGTGAATTTTTAGACTTCGATATTTTTTTTCTATGAATCACGTCTAAGGAGCGCCCCATTTGGCGTCGGTAGTAAAAAAGATGCATCGTGACACCGCTGACGTTGACTTTGCTTTTGATAGGTGATTTGGAAAATCATCAGCCTCTGGATGACGGTGCTTGAGATGACTTTAGAATTCTACTGCTTCTAACTGATTATGTACTGGTTACAGCTTTGGTGTACTAGCTGGCCTGTCAATCGTCCTACTTTATGAATCGCCTCTTGCTAATCGGAAGTGCCAGTGGAGATTCACCCTCTCGCGGCTACCTTTAGCAAAATTTCTGGGTTATAGCGACATGTCGACCATCAACCTCGACAAGAGTCACGATGTGCATTCGAGGCTAATGTGATCAGAATCTCGGATTCGCTCTCCAAGCTCTGTCATTGCACCACCTGACTTGCGCCCCCACAGTTGTTTGGAATCTCGTCACTTTTTGGAAAGCAGAGAGGAGACCCGCTACAAGAATTGGTAAGACGTTACTTTTACTGAAGAGTGAATAAGTCCACATAAAACACTGGATGTGAATGCATTTGCTTTGAAATATTCAAATTATATTTCAATCCCTTTATCGCGACGACCTTTACGGTCCAATGTAGTGCAGTCGCAACTTGGTCTGATCGACGACAGACCTGCGTTTAATGGTACGTTACTTGATTAAAAAATCTTGTGCTCCCCATCATTTTCGTGTGCGAGCCTCTGGCATCGGCGTGTTGCTTTTGTTCGTCATACTTTGCAGTCATAACGTCGCACACCTTGCGTGTATTGCCAAGACAAAATCACTGATTTTTGCTACGAAGTGGAGCTTGGCCGATAGCAGCAAGTCGATTTTAGTCGATAGCGGCCCCCTCGTATGCGTTCAGCCATTTGAGGCGGTGCTAATGGCACAGGGGGGTCTATCAAACCATTAAGCCAAATTAGGTAAAGCCGTATAAGGTATGAACGGCTTCATCTAAAGTAAAATCAATGAGCAGGGACACTTTATGTAGTGACATGGACTCTCTGCGCAAGCACTTCGGTGGTTATCCATCGTAATGCGAATCATACATTTCAATAAATCACCTTGTTACGAGAGATCAGAGGTCGAGATATTCAATCTGGTGTCGAGCACATTGACCAATGTTTGTCAAAATCTGGCTGAGAAGCAAAGATCTATAGGATTCAATGGCTACCGGCAAGCCATGTTGGCAAAATATTTTGTAGAGGATAATTTTGACAATATCCTCGACAACCACATATTTCTATCAGCTGCGAAACGGGCCGTCTTCCTCAGACGACCCACAGCACCGGTATTTTCTGACGCGTTTTTGGAAGATCAAAGCTTAAGTTCATTCTCATGGTCTGTCAATGCTACGCCTGAAACGGCAAGTAGACACACGTTTCAGCTGCGCGTTTATATGTGCTTGCTCACTCACACGTCAGGGCATCAATACATACCACACACCGAGCAGTATGTCTTTTTTCGATGTGGTCACCCAATAGACATCATGCGCATCGTACAGTAATTACAAATTGAGGCTTTTATCATGAGGTACTAGTGTGATGTGGGTCAGTGGTATATTACCGCAAACCTACCGGAAGGCATAGCGGTGCTGATATGATAAAGCGAAATCTGAGCTCTTGAATGCCTTGTTTCCCAATCCTTGTAGCAGAATAACACAAGCCGCACCTGACCGTACGTACATATCGCATTATTGTTTCGTGACATCAGCATCGTGACATGCGATATTTCAATTCAGATTCGGTCGACGCGAAAGTGCAAGCCGATTCGGCTTCAAAGAATACTCAGCAACAACGGATAACCATTTGCCATCATCATTTCAAATGTGTCGTCAGCATCGTTGCGCACAACGACTCATGATCTCATGGGTCTCAAACAGATTGAATCCAACCCTTAGCTTGACGACGGTATATATTCATTGCATAAAGGTTCTCGACATGAATAGGCGTGCTTTCATCGGAAGCTATCAGCTGGCAGGATCACGCGTTCGGACGCGTTGTTATCTGCTTGAAGCAAAATGCAGTCTACTGCAAGGAATGCAGGGTTACAGATTAGGTGGAATAACCTGTACGGAGTTAGAAAAAAGCAGAATCGGGACTCGCATAAATCTTTCTATCGCAGTCCTAAGAGTTGCCTTCTCGGCCCCGCCACAACAATAATTGACATCCCTGTTATACCATGTCGATATATTTTTCACTGTACTTGTGCGCGTATCTGACCAGGCCAGACCAATACATCCAATCATTTTGGAACAGATACGCAGCCAAATCTGTAATATCCGTTTTCAATGAGGAATCTGCATGCAGGCCTGGCATCCCACTTAAGTTTATTTACAGAGCAGACTTTGCGGCGTCAAAGACGTACTTGTCTTCATTGGCAATCAGTATATATGAGCACATATATGCGAGGAATGCTCACAAGTGTTCCCGTGCTCAGCACGACAGCAGTCAGATTTATCTTCGAAATAGATTGCACATAGTCATGATAAAGCTTGAATACTCGACAATTGAATATTGCTGCTCCCTGTAGCACAACCAGACATTTTTACAGCATGCTCGGAGCACACGCTGCAGCGAGAGGGATATTTCTGCATATACCAACAATCGACAAGCAACAATCACCATTAGCTAGGTCGACGTGCAGTCGGTTAAGATGTTCTGTAGTACATTCCTTCAAAGAATTGGCGTTTAGCCATAACCCTGGTTGCATTTAGCCTATTATAAGCACGAACAATTTTTAATCGCTGTTTATCATTTTGACGTAGAAAGTAGGCACTATGGGCATCATTTATTTTACAAAATCTTTTGTGCTTTGAAAGGAAGCGTCAGTCACGTCACAATGTTCCCTTGAAAGGATCCATTGCTGTGTGACACAACTTTGCTAAAGTAAAATCTTTTACAGCCCCCATCTAGCCTAGCGGATTTATCAATAACATACCGTGATTTTCCTCGCAACGAACCGAAATAATCCGTAGGTTAATATCAGCACCACTCCTCGCATTTATGGCCCTGAAATTGTCATCCAGGACAAATTCATCTATGACTGGTGACGTGATCAACTCTATCTCTTGGTACAACTGTAACGTTTCGACGACATAACCGTCTTGCAATTTCTTGCACATATATTCTAAGCGCAGATTTTTCCAGCCGAAAACGAGCGTCTACAGAAGGAAGTGATAAGCATAAAGACAACTCCAGTATTTCTGATCAAAAGTTACTTTTTTGCCACTTACTCGTGAATATCAATGATACGTACAGCAGATCCATCACATGGTAGTGCTGATACAGCAGTTTTGTCTAATGGTGACATAGATGAACCACCTTATTAAATACAGATCCTATCCCTTGTATTCGCGAATATCGGTCGCAATTAAGCTCCACCGACTTTGCACAGAGCATCGCGACACCTAGTCGCTGTCTCTCATACCGGTCCTGGCACAGAAGCCAACATCTCAGAGCTATTTCTTACCGTCTTGCTTGAAATACACTTTGGGGACCACGAGACACAATTTTCATTACTCCTCTCAACAGAGATATACTCAGAACACCCAGCCCTCCTAGCGCTTATGACTTCCCGCTTGGCTTGAGGCACCTACCAATGCAATTGCTATTATTCTAGGGACAGTCATGTACTTCAGAAATGTTCTCACTGATTCACTCCCGCTTCAGACGTGCTTCTGTTTCCAGGCAGAAGTGTCTCGTCAATGATCAACCAGAAGAGAAGTGAGAATCACCTAGATTTTTTGATTTATTGGTCCGCCGAAAAAAGATTCGTGGCGTTTTAGTCATATCATGTTATCGACTCTTGAATCAGGATCCAAGACTAGACAACATCCCGCAATATTAACGTCCTCACACTTCATTTGAATGCTCACCACAACCATCAAGACATTTACCAGAGCCGTCGCAAAACGGACGGAAAGTGTATTCGTAGTTGGTATCTACAATACCAACACATACTGTCTACTGTTTTTGATAGCCACACGTCTTAGCTGATTGAACGACGCTTCCAAATTTATCAGAACTATTTACGGTCTTACAAAGCCCGGGACGTTGATGTAAATTTACAATCCACGGCTGTGAGCCCCGCCTCTTATTGAGGGAGTCGATCCTCTCAGGGCTTCGTCCCACCGATCATTACCTCCATGTGACACGATAGAAACAATATATCTCCCAGTAGGCTTCCGTGTGCCTACTAGAACGCGACATTTCCTGTGAGCAGTATGTCATGAGGCTGTGTGCGGGGGTCAACGTTTCGTACCTCTCAGCCGAGAACGAAGGGGTACAAAAGGCGCGAATGTTTTTCTACCTTGGATGGATAATCGCGGGTACAGCTCAGCCGCTGGCCAGTAAAGACATCTCTTTTCATTGGCAGCATGGCTGAGGTCTATCTACTATAGCCGCTTGTAGAGCTTACATTCGCAGCATTCTTTCCTGCTTTTGCGATACGAAAATTGTGTTGTATTGTGTTGCGCGTTTAGAATTGCGACCACCGTTTCTCGAAGGAGAGAGAAATACGCGAGATGTCTAAGTGATAGTCGTACACGTACGATGACCCCCCATGAAGATATTTACCGCTATACACTCAAAGAGTGTGCCAGATGTCAATGCGGCAATATGCTCTTGACTCCGGGACAAAGTCCGTCTGTTCTGACCTCCTTCGACAATAAACAGAAAGACATCGGTAACGCCTGGTTGGGTTGTGCGGACACCCGCAACATCTGTCGTCTTAAATCATCCCACGTTGAAAAGCTCCTTTTACTGAATTTTGCACACGGTGCCCATTTTCTCGCGCGACCGCCTAGCTTGCAGATCGCAAGCACCACGCACCGTGACTCCATTTGGGCAAGGCCGGATCAATGGTCATCTGAATTTCTTCCATTCAATGGGAGAGATCTCCTTTTTCCTGGCCTTCAAAGACCAGTGTGCGCAAGATCAGTGGTCTCACGGTTGGAACCCTCTGTACCTTAAAGGTCGCAGTTCGAACGTGCCTTATTAGGGCATACCCTCTATTTCCTCTTCTTTCCTTTTCTTTCCTTTTCTTTCCGTACTGGAAATTTTTTATTCAACATGTCATATTCCATCCTCGCAGAGAATTATATATTTCAAGGCTCGGTCGTGGGGTACAAGTGTACTGGGGTGTCGTTTACTTTGCACAGAGAAAGCCTTGACTGTCAGAGTCCTGTGTTGACAAACGCACAGTTATTCCCTTCTACAATGCGTTGAACCGAGACGCTTTTAGACAACTATCGCTGTTAGGTTATTCTGTTATTTAAAGAGCATGACTAAAGTAGACATACGTTAAAGTACAAGAATTCGTGATCCCTCCTTTTCGGAGCTTGTACTATTCGTAAATATCGTTTTTCGGGTACATTTCATACAATCGTGCCAAATTGTAATTTATGCTACTGTTCCAAATGTATAAGGGATTATAGTGCTTGTATCGTTGCGAAATATGCTTCCAATTATTGGAACTGTCTTGAATAATGCAGTTCACGTCTCCACGGGTTTTGCATCGTCATATATCAACAATCTGCTTGTTTTGGTCGGAACGGTCTAGTGGCAATGTAGGATCGATATCTTGATGGTATTTAGTGTCATGCACAGAATGCGCAAAGGTATGGCTGAGACTAGGACATGGACCAACCAAGCAAATGCCATGAATTAGCATTTTGCGAATACGGAGGCTGATAACCTAAATGCACATGCTGTGACATTGGATCGTGGCCATAAAGGAATCGCTGTACTCTTAATGTCTAAAAGAAAATGCGAAGACATCCTGAGTTTTACATTCGGATTAGAAACAATGCAAGTAACGAGAGTAAGACAAATCGCTGAATTTTGGTATGACAGACATGTCCAGCACTTTTTTAGAATAAAGTACGTCTACTCGCTCTTTACCATATGCTCAATGAGGTCTAGTACACGTGAGCTATAGCCCCATTCATTATCGTACCACGACACGAGTTTGACGAAATTATCAGTCAGAGCAATACCAGCTTCAGCATCGAAGATGGACGAACGAGAATCACCGATGAAATCGCTAGAAACGACGGACTCATCCGTGTAACCGAGAATGCCCTTCATCTCGTTCTCACTCGCATGTTTGATTGCAGCTTTAATCTCGTCATATGAAGCGGGGTTGGCCAAACGAGCAGTTAGATCCACTACAGACACGTCAGCCGTAGGCACACGGAACGACATACCCGTCAACTTGCCATTCAAACTCGGGATCACCTTGCCTACAGCCTTGGCAGCACCAGTTGAGCTCGGAATGATATTAAAGCAAGCACCACGACCACCTCGCCAGTCTTTTTTTGATGGACTGTCCACGGTCTTTTGAGTAGCAGTCACAGCATGCACAGTCGTCATCAGACCTTCCTTAATACCAAATTTATCATTCACCACTTTGGCCAAAGGAGCCAGACAGTTCGTCGTACACGAGGCATTCGATACCACATGCATGTTCTTTTCGTATAATTCATGGTTCACACCCATTACAAACATAGGAGCATCGCTTGACGGAGCCGAAATGACCACTTTCTCGACACCATTCTTCAAATGAGACGACGCTGTCTCGAGAGTTGTAAACGCTCCCGTTGACTCAACCACGTACTGAACATGCTTCTCACCCCATGCGATCTTTTCAGGATTCATCTCATTAAACACACGAATTGGTTTTCCATTCACATAAATGTGCTTCTCATCATGGTCCAGCTCACCGTCAAAGCGACCGTGTACTGTATCATACTTGAGCATGTACTGCATGTACTTTGTGGCTACGAATGGGTCGTTAATGGCCACAACCTTAATATTCGGATTTTTAGTAGCAGCGCGGAAAACGAGTCGGCCAATGCGACCAAACCCGTTGATAGCAACATTTACCATGTTGTTTCAATGGCTTTGATGAGTTTCGAGGCAGATCTTGGATGACTCAAGATTTTCGTGGTGATGAGAAGTTCATAGTGTTAAACTATACTCTATGGTGTTTAGGACGTGAGGCTGAACACCTTAAAAATTGATAAGATACGTATAGACCGTACATTTGGTCAGCCTAGTCCTAAGTCTGATTGGTCGAGGAAAACACATAGAAATCGACAAGGTCTTGCAACGTAAGGAAACTTTAACAATTTTGAGAAGCAGGAGTCAAAATATTTTATTTGTAACCTGCAAAGTTGAACGTTTCTAAAGGTATAGACATCAATTGTTTATCAATCAGCATTCATGTAGCTACATCAGCATCATAAGAGCATTTTATTCACTCTTGACCATGTGTTCAATCAAATCCAGCACACGCGAGCTATAGCCCCATTCATTGTCGTACCACGATACAAGTTTGACGAAATCATCAGTCAGAGCAATACCAGCCTCAGCATCGAAAATTGATGAACGAGAATCACCAATAAAATCACTCGATACCACAGCTTTCTCGGTGTAGCCA